AACTTTGACCTAGTGAAGAATTATGTAAAATAAAAGAGTTTTTTAAAAAAATGATGGAATGTGATGTGATGATATTGTTTATAGTTTTAATAGTTATAATTATAAATTAAAAATTTTTTTATCTATCGGCATATCTTCATATTTATTTTTGTAACATAAAAAATATGATGGTGGTGTCATTATATATATATATATATATTGTAGTTTTATATTTGTGCTATATGACATGTCATAATATTTTTTTTTTGTGGTTCATATTATTTTCTTAATGGATATAACGAAAATATAAATATGTAATTTTAATAGTGATAATTATAAATTATTTTTTTATCCCTATTCGTATTCTTTTATTTTGTTTGTGGTCAACTATTTGTTTTATAATTGAACATTAAGAAAAAGAAAATAACTGTAAAGGATTGTTGAATCCAAATTTATAAGTATTATATAACAAACAAAATATATTAATAATTATAATCAGCATGTTGAAAGAAGACAATTAAGAGTTAAAAGTCGATGATGTTCAAAGATAAGATTCGATAAATGACGAGGAAATAATCAATGATCTGGGTTTATGAAGGGTGGGCGTGTTGTAGTTTTGTATTATTATGATATATATTTGTACATATATATTATAAAATGTCAATCAAAAAGAATATATTTTATTTATTAGTTATTTTATCGAGAATTGATATTCAAACACTTGGTATTTTTTTGTTTATTTTTTTACTTTTGACTTTTGATAAATATATTATACGAGATAAATTTTAATGTTCATGTTTTATTGAAATGAAAAGAAATTATTTGAATTTGATGTAGATTTGGAATTTTATGAATTTGAAAAATAAAAGAGAAATTTATCAAAATAAAATTATATTTGTAGTAAAGTATTTAAATATAAAAATAAAAGTAGTGTTAAATATAAAAGTAATAACAGTACAAATTTGAATATATAACATAAATACTGAAGAATGTAAATTTTTAAAAGAAGTAGAAAGTTTTTTATACCCATTTTACAAAATTACATGTGAAGTAAGTTCGGAAACCTATACTACTGTAGGTTTATCATTATTGTATATTAATACAATAATGACATTACTTGAGCGAACCATCGCATCCAATGCAAGTGATATAAAAGAGGCAGCTGTATAAATGTAGAATAGATGTAAAATTTATTCTGATTTTATGAATACATTAAATTATGTTTGCTCTGTCTTTGACCCAAGGATTAAAAAGAAATATATACCGACTTACATCAATTAAGTTGAGTATTTTGATAAATTTAAAATTTTATATAACAAATATCTGCCCGGCACATTCAATGTTTATGAATATAACAACGAAGAAAATCCAGCGAATTTGATGTCGGTATGCATATTTAACGACCTCAGAAAGTAAATATAACAATTTATTATATTTAATCATATATTTTTATAATAAAATTCGTTTTGAAGGAAAGCTTATGATTATCCAGAGCCGTCAAAAGAAGAAATTGACGATTATATTGGAGAACCAGTTGCTAAATCTACATGTTTTGGATTGGTGGAGTTCTAACATCCACAGATATCCAAAATTATCGATGATGGCCAAATATTTTTTTTCGCTTCAATCTACGTCAGTGCCTTTAGAAAGAGTGTTTTCTGGTGATGTAGAAACGTTGACCAAAAAAAGAAATCGCATATCATCGATGAAATTAAATGAATGTTTATCATTAAAATCATGGGATTTTGATATATTAAGTTTAAAAGATGATTTTTGGATATGATTGATTATTTTATATAATAAATTGTTATTAGCAAAATATATAAATAAATAAATATTATTACAAATATTTTATTTTGGTTAACAATATAAATATTAAATATATTTTTTCTCAAATCTAATAGGGTTTATGAACCCCAGGTTGTTGGAAAAACTCTTGCGTAAATACGGTCAAATAATATAGTTTCATTTGTTAACTTTATTATTAATATATATTATCACATATTTGGTATTTTGGCTTAAGAGTTTTTAATACAATTAAATAAAATATTTCAAATAAAAACTAAGTGAAGAGAACTAAAGAAGCAATTTTTTATTTTTTTAAATGGTTATCAATTTAACAAAATTATAAGTAAAAATGGAAAATATTTAACCAAGATTTTTAAAAATAAAATATAAAAATTTTTTTATTGTGAATTTTTAAGTATTGATTCCTTTTAACACTTTTTTATAAAGTAATATAAAAAAATAAATATAACTTTAGCTATTAAATGGAAATACCTTTTTGAGGCAAAATTTCCCTCTCATTCAATTTGATTAATAAATCATATAAGTAATCTAGTTACATAAAATTTAAATAAAATTAAAATAATATATATTTTTTTAAATATCTTCCAACCCTCCTATATTAGTAAAGGGTTGAATTTAAATATTAATTCTAAATTAATTCCCTATATCAAACATGGTTAGTCTACTATTTTTATTATCTTGAGAAATAATGATATATGGATTGCCAGGTTATAATATTGTTAGTAAATGGTTGATTTTGAGCCGATTTTTTAAAACGGCTAACTCAATATTTTAGCCAGAAAAATATTGCCTAAGCTTCTAGATTTAATAGTACATTTGTTCCTTCAATGAGCAAAATTTTCCGGATTGCGTAATATTTTTCTGGATAAATTGAGTTAGCCGTTTTTAAAAATCACCTGAAAATGAGCGTTTACGACACTAGGTTATAACTGCAGTTTATAAATATATGCATTCTTTATTTAATTCCATTATATAACAAATAGACGTAGCGGCATTAAAGAAAAATTAATCCTAGATGTATTGTATTTTTAATATTTTTTTAAAATGTATAAGTTATTTTAAAAACTAAAATATTAAAAATATCCATTAAAAAGTACAAGACTGGAGTGGAAGAATTTTTAAATATATTTATATTTATAGTTAACAACAAGCATGTGAGCTACCTAAGAGTTTTGGAGGCCATTCATGTGGCTCAACGAGAGAATTTTCCAAAATGAGCAAAATGTACATATATTTTATAAGATAAAATATTTGTTGATATTGAAGATAGAAATATCAATAATCAACTCAAACGATTGAAAGATGGACGAGCCAGCCCTGAATATATAGTTATAGTACGTAATCCTGGACAGGCTTAATTTTTTTTTTGAAAATCGGAGCCAGGACGAAATTTTTTTATTTTAAAAAATCGGACCGTGCAAATGACACCTCTGCAGCTATCTGACAAAAAAAATATTATTTACAAAAACCACATTTAATTATTCACAAACATGAATAAAAACCAACTTTAAAAATGTTTAATAAAAAAATTAATTAATATTTACATCGAGAAAAATATTGAGTTAATGAATGATTATTTATCAATCAAATTATCTTTAGCTTAAAAACAATAATGATTTATATTTAAACACTAATTTTACACCCATTTGCGTCAAAAAACTTTAGAAATAACGATTATGACAATTGTCACATATCTATAGTACACCTTCACTGAAATTTTAATTTAACATGTTTAGAACCTATATTTAAACCCATTTGCGTAAAAAAATTAAATAAACCTCAAAAATAGCGATTATGATAATTGTCACTTATCTAGGGTACATCTTCACTGAAGTTCTATTTAAACATGAGTAATACTAATTTTAGCCTATTTACATCAAAAAAATTTTAAAAACTTTAAAAATAACGACTATGACAATTGTCATTTATCTATAGTACATCTTCACTGAAACTTTAATTTAACATGTTTAAAACCTATATTTATACCCCTTTGCGTAAAAAAAATTAAATAAACCTCAAAAATAGCGATTATGACAATTGCCACTTATCTAGGGTACATCCACTGAAGTTCTATTTAAACATGTTAGCAATACTAATTATAGCCCATTTACATCAAAAGAATTTTAAAAACTTTAAAAATAAAGATTATGACAATTGTCACTTATCTATAGTAAATCTTCATAAAATTTTATTAATACATATTTATATTTACAATATATATTTATACCCATTTGTGTCAAAAAAATTTAAATATCTTTCAAAATAACGATTATGACAATTGTCATTTATCTATAGTACATCTTTACTGAAATTTTAATTTAACATGTTTTGAACCTATATTTATACCCATTTGGGTAAAAAAAATTAAATAAACCTCAAAAATAGCGATTATGACAATTGTTACTTATCTAGGGTACATCTTCACTGAAGTTTTATTTAAACATGTAAGGAATACTAATTTTAGCCCATTTACATCAAAAAAATTTTAAAAATTAAAAATAACGATCATGACAATTGTCATCTTCATAAAATTTTATTTTAACATATTTACAATATATATTTATACCCATTTGCGTCAAAAAAAAATCTAATATCATTAAAAATAATGATTATGACAATTGTCACTTTTATATGTTACATCTTCATTGAATTTATAATTTAACCTCTTTACAATATAAGTATGTCAAAAAGTTTCAAAAATGTCTAAAAAAACGAATATGACAATTGTCACATTAAAATATTTTCCTTTAAAAATAGATATAAAATAACATAAAAAAGTTTAATATAAATATTTTTAAAAATTATTAGAAAAAACCACCTCTTTTAATATACAAAAAAGTAGATAATTTTACAAAGATGATTAAAAAAAACATAAAAAATTTCACCTCAAAGATTGTTTATTTATAAGAAAATTCTCTAAAAAATTGCTCAATTTAAAAATCTTATTATTTTTAAACTTCAAAAAATTTTTTTTTAAATTTGGGTGTGTAAAAACACTAGTAAATTGTAACAAAAATTATATTACAATACAACAATAAGCAGCATATCATTTTTTTTATTAAAAAACATCAAATCAATAAACTATTTTCATAATATAATATAAATTATTATGTTTAAAAAAAAATAAAAATATATTATATTGTTTTAACATATTTAAATAAATAAATTTTGGCTTGAATAAAGCCAACTCCTGAGCTGGCTTGAGCCTAAGCCAATTTTTTGGCTCCGACCTCGAGGTCAGATCTGTAAAAACTCGGCTTTTTAACAACACTACTCCTATCTTCAAGGGCCCTACCAGCCCGCTCTTTCACTGCTAGCCGAGGAAGCAGGGTTAGAAAGGAATTTAAGAACCAAAACACTTATTGGAAAAGTTGCTTTGATAAGTCATCCACCTATTTAAGATTTGATAAACTATTTTAAATATTGAAAATTCGAGGCTATTTAATTAAATAGATATTAGATAAATATACTTTATTTAACCTGATAAAATATGATGTAAATAAATTATGTAATGATAACACAAAAATATAACAAAATAGTTTGGTGTATGGATGTTATGTAAAATAATAATTGAAAATGAAATGTTATTCTGATTGACATTTTAATGATAAATGTTTTAGATAAAAAAATGACATGTTATTTTAATTAACATAATGAATTAAGATGATTATATTTAGGATTCAACACCTCTTACAATCTAACCCAAGCTCCAAAATAAAGTTTTTTATATCCAAACCTGTCCTTGACCAAGCTCGGGTCAGGCTACAGATAATCTGTGCAGATCTCTACCTCCAACACTTGCTTTTGGGTTGTCTTACTTCAGTGTCAAAGGATAATAGCAAAATAATTGATTTTGTTTTGCAAACACCATTAGAGTTGTAAAATATTATGTGCCCATAGAAAAGGAGGTGCAAGAACTTATGCACAAAATGAAAGTTCTAAAAAATTTAATTTCCAAGCCAGCAATATTATTTCACAGAAGTAATAATTGTGCAGCCTGGACCAGTCTACTTTCCAGAAATGGGAATTAGAAGAGCCAGGTAACCATTAATACATTGCCTTAACAAGAATATGTTTAAAATTTATAGATGTTATCATTATCAGTATATTTTAAAATATAATCTTTTATAATGGGCTTTAATTGTTTTTGCTATTTAATTTATTAGGAATCCAAACAAAATTAACAATATCATTTAGTTATTATTTTTTATTAAAATTTAAAATAATTTTGTTTTATCTTTTTGTGCTCATAAGCTTTTGCTCTTGGATTGAGTTGATTAGTTTAATTAACCATAAATTTATATGCTTCACTTCTTCATCATTTAATTTAGAAAATATGTGAGTATATATATATTAAACTATTTAAGTAAATAGGTTCTTAAAATTAGCTTTAATTATTTAATGATTTCACATATTTTACTCTTAAAAAAGTTATTTATAAATTTTTCTGTTCATTTTAGAATTCTTGCTTGGTAATTTCAAAATTCTTTTATGTGATTTAATACTTCCACCAAATCTAAGTTGCCCAGATTTTTTATTTCCACCAATTCCACCACCTTTCATGAAAAATTATTATTATTATATAATTTTATTCAACCAAGTCGTCTCGGTACCCATCCTTGTAAAGAATTCCCAAACTCATACTCCACATGTATCTTAGAATTATCTAATATTGTATCATTTGCAAATTTGTAAGCAGCTTTAGCTGATTTAATATTTTCAAATTCAATAAATGAATACTTTTTAGACATCCCAGTAACTATATCTTTAATTAACTGTATTTTTTTTATATCTCCATATTTACTAAATTTCTAATTTATATAAAATTTAATAATAAATAAGTTTTCAATTTAACCTTTCTCAATTCCTCTTTTTTAGTTTTAAAACTTAATTTGCCAACAAATATGGTGCATTCCAATCTTCCAGTAGGTTTTGGTGGTTTAAAAACTGCCTATAAAAAATATATATTTTTGTTATTTAAATGTTGTATAAATATTCGTAAAAATAATTACGTTGATCGCTCTAACGATGCCTCTATCATGGGGTACAATTAAACCTGAACCTCCAGCTTTCAATGGATCATACATCATATAGATGTTGTATCAAATAATTTTGACTAAATAAAAATAATTGACATGACATATCACATGTTAAATTTTTAAGTGTCTATAGGAATAACTATAAATAGCTTATAATTGAGAAAATAAAATGATAGGATTCTTACTTAACGGTTTCCTAAGTAAGAAGAATATCTCAGGTTTGGTTAATTAATTAAAAATATAAAATTACCATTAAGTATTAAACTTTATTACATGAGAATCAGAAAATAGAACGAAAATTTTTATATATATATTTTCACAATTTTATATATATCATCAAAATAGAATAAAAATTTATTAATCATTAATAATAGTGGTGTTTTGTTTTACATTTACATCCATAACTGCGCCAATATAATATTAGGGATAATTTCATATATTAGATAACATGGAGAATTCTTTACTCATTCGTTTATTTATACAACCATGATCATTCATATATTAGGATGTAACAATATATATAGATACGGATGTCTCACTATAATAGATGCTATAGGTAGTTTTATGTTAACCCCACCCAATATTATATTAATTATAAATATAAATATATATAACATTATAACAATATCGAATTGACAAATATATTAATTCATTATGTAAAAATATATTATGATATATTCGAGGGGCGTCACTAGCCATTACAATCTCAGGGGACTCAGCTAAAAAAAAATTTATGCCTTCACCCCCATACCCCCAAATTTGGGGGCCTTTGGCCCGCTTTTGCCCGGACTTCGGCCGGGTTTTATATTAATATATTATACATTTTTAAGCTAACTCTAGACAATTATTCTGAATTATTTTGTCATTTATAATATTTTGCATACAAAATAAACTAGCATATAAATAATTAAAACAATACAATAAATTTCTAAAAATAATATTTTTTAATACAAAATCTATTTATTACAGTATAAAATATTCGATTGCTGATATAAAAAAAATTTGCGTAAATAATTACAAGTGATAAAAGAGGTTAATTAATTCATACATATGCCTCAATTGATAATGGTTTTTAAAAACCACATAAGACTATATAATTCTAGCAACAAAAGGTCATGACACTCACGATGGTAACCCATATCAGAATATATTATGTTAGATAAATTGATAAAACAAAAACAGAAAAAACTTTAGAAGAAATTATGCAAATATATTGAAGTTTTGAGTTATTTACACGGCAAGGATGCCATATTAGAAATAAAACATTTTTTACTATAAAATAAGAACCAGAGTGATATAATGAAAGTAATTAAAATTTTATATATTATTGTCGCACCATCTCTAGTTGGTTTATTATATCTTAAAATAATAATAGATTGTAATAATATCAAAAATATATTCGTATTAAAAATTTAACTCAAAACTGTTTTTCAAAGATGACAAAAATAGCTTTCATAAAAACACGTAATAAAGAGAAGAAAAGATATCTAATTTATTATATCCATGGTGGGGAAGTTTAATTTTAAAAATATATTTAAAATATAGATGGCGTTAAATAATTGAATGCAAATTGTTACTTATATTTATTATCAAAAGCATTATTATTAAAATTTTAAAATTATAAATGTAATATATTATATAACTGTCGAATATGTCTGTAAAAGTGGCATTTTACCTAATATTTTATAAATAATTATATATTATAAAGGATTATAAACTATTTATCTACTTATTTTTTATAAATAAATATCTTATACTCATTTGGATTTGAACCTTGAAAATAATTTTAGGAAGTGACATGATAATTAAAATTAAAAATCAAAATGTAGTTGATTAGTGATTTTGAACTCGGCTAATTACAATATTAAATTTGTTAATTTTCAATTAATAAATGATTATATTTATTTAATTAAGTTTATATAATAATTTAAATAATAAAAGTCAATTAAGCTTCAACTGTTAATGCTAAATTAATATTTAGTTATTAATATTGATATATTTTTAACAAAGAATTTTATTGCAAGCTGACAGAGTGAACATATAATTTATACTAGTAGAAAGCCCGTCAAAAATGACGGGGAATGAGATTTTTATTCATTTTTTTATGATAGATGTCATGCCAGATCCAAGCTAACAATATTAGAAAGCATATAATTATTAAAAAGTTTATCCAGCCCAGCTCAACCCTTAATAATTTGTTAAAGATATTCCCATGTCAGGTGCAAGCTAATATAAATTTTGAGGTTCCAAGCCCAGTCTATCCAATATATTTTTGAAAATTTTTTCCCACCTCGGTGATAGTTAAATTTTTAATTGATTTATCATCACATGAAGGGGAATTATCTAATTTGCCAATTAGTTTAAGATGTAAAAAAAACACGTGAATTCCGTACTAAGGGAGACTGGGAAGGCCTGGGCAAACCACTTATTAGAGAATCATGACAAATAAAATAAAACCGACTCTTATACTTTTTGGTAATATGATCAATTATAATTATATATAAATAATAAATTGTTGTTTATTATATAGGGTTATTGGAGCTTTTCGGATAAATTTAATATATGTCTTACATTTCCCAAATTATTTGTCTATATTTTATGTTAAGTAAAAAAAATGCTATCTATTTAAATAACAAAAATGCCATTAAACACTAACGAAACTTATATGCAAATTATATATATTTTTTTTAAGAAAATATTTTTTATTGACATATAAATTTAGGCTAATTTTTTTAAAATAATGAGGAATAATTATTATGTTGTGTATTTGATAAAATTAAGAGCAAATCCTTGTTGACATTTTTATTTTTGATGGAAAAAGCGACAAAATAAATCTGAAGGTTGTCTGGAGAGGAAATAATTAATGTAAAATTTCATATCATTAAGGGTTGTAGATGAAAGTAATGACTGATTATCAAAGCAGTGTACAAAACACAATACGTCCTGATAAGGATGAGTCATACGCCTATGCCTTGGGATAATGGTAAAAGAAGAACGCAAAATGATATTTCTGTTAATGTCAGCATTGGTAGCCCCTTTTAAAATAGAATCATGAACGACAATGTTAACTCAACCATAAAAAAGTAGTAAGAATTGTTATAAAGGCCACGACAGAACTACTGCATATTTTTCAATTAATAAAGTTGATGAAAATGGCCGTACTGACATTCAAGTTTGAACATTCCTCTAAATAATCATGAAAGTTTCTCAGAGATTTGGATAAAGTAATATTTATAATAACTTCCAGTGAAGTGAATGATAGTACGGAATTGAATGCTTATATTTGTTAAAAATAGACAGAGGTGGCATAGGGATGGTAGTGGTGATAGAAATATCATTTGGAGGCAACTGGGTGAAAATAAAATAATCATATAAATATAAAACATGAGATAAAAAAAATAAATAAACCTCCAGAGAAGTTAATTTCAAGCATAGTTTTTTATTATTTTGGCTACCAGTAACTCTAGAACGGGCAAGTAGTTTGTTTATTCGTCATTATTTTATTTGCTTATCTTTAATAGATTCATCATGTTTTGTAGCAATGTGAGGAATTAAGGTTGGGTTAGAACATTATTATTGAAAAAAACGAACATTAAAATTCTGTAAACCAGTAGATGGATCAATATTAGATGAATATATCTAGTAGTTGGAGGGATATCATCAAAAAAAAATTTTTTTTTTTTTTTGGGGGGGGGGGAGACTTTAAAGCCTATTATGATATTTTGAAGGTATATTTTTCATTTGTGCACTATTAATGGCTGATATATCAATATTTGAACAATTCCAAATAGGAAATAAGATGGGGATAGTTTTATAAAAAATTAAATAATTCTCAAGTTGAATTTATAAGGTAGGAATAAAATAAAATATTATTTGGAGAGATCAATTGGCAAATTTTTTTAAAAAATAGGATCCTTGTGAATAAGTATAGAATAATTTAAATTTTTTTGGAATAAATATAAAAATAGAAAACCCCGTTTAGTATTTTTTATTGAATAAATAAAAAGGAGTATTGTTAAAAAGGTAGAAACCTTAAGAATAAATATATAATTTTAATTGAATAAAAATAAAATTGTAATATATAATGATTTTTTAGAATAGATATATCATATATAAAAATAATAATAATAAAAAATACTATGTATATTTTTTTGAGCATTATACAAAATAATCAGCAGGAATAATAGAGCAATGGTGGATCCGACAAAATGGTTAGCTTTTAAAAAAGTAGGATCCTTAAAAATTGTTATATTAATTTAGTTAAATTTTAAAAATGTACTTTGTATAATTTTCAGTTAGACAAAATATTCATCAGAGATAAAAGGGTATATTGTGCGCCCCGAGAAAATGGATAGCCTTATAAATACGTATGATGCTTAAAATAATATAAATTTATTTAAATTATAAAAAAATATTAGATTTTTTGGAATAGATATAAAATCATATATAAAATTATTTATAATAAAAATAATGTACTATGTATATTTTTTTGTGAGTTATAAAAAATAATCAGCAGGGATGGTTAACCTCTCTAGAAATAGTGGCAATATCATCCATCAGAAGCTTAAATAGATGTATTCTAAAATGAAAAGTATAAGCATTTTTAGTATATATAGATGAATAACTTTATTTTGCATATGGTATATTTTATTGGGCTTCACGTCATATGACCCAGTATAATTTTTTTGCTTGAATATGAGTTGAATTAAGAATTGAATGATATTTATTTTTTGATAAGCCCAGCCTTCGGCTGGAGTGTGTAGCCTGAGGTAAGGAAATAAAAGAAAATTAAATGGAAATAAAATAGGGAAAATATTTATTTATATAAACCTAATAATAACTGTTTATATCTATTATTGTTTTCTTCTTATATTTGATATATCGAAATTTTGATTAATAAAGCCATAGGGATGCCAAAGCCATAAAGGCCAAGGCATCCAGTTACATCCCACTTTTCCTGTGGGGAAAGTTAAAAGGATGTAACGGCGAAGCCAGGAAGGTAAAGATAAAGAAAAATGAAATTAAAAAGTGAAGATAGGATAGGGAAATGATGAGAAAGGGGAAGATAATAAAATAAATTAAAAGGGAAAGAAAGGAAAAG